GGAAACAACAGATTTTAGAAAAAGCAGCCTTTATTTTAGCACAATGGTATCAACCCCAGAAATATGTGTCTTACTTGTATGTGAGTACGTCACTGCAGAACATTGCAGAGCAGGTATTGGAGTGCCTTAAAAATAAATATCCGGCGCATCCAATATTCTCGATATCAGAAGAGCAGCTTCTCCTTTGGGCAGACAATAATATCGATGACAATCATTGGAATAGCATAGAAGGAAGACAGATTATAGAGAGTCTTTGTAAAGTTTTATATGATTTAGATTTTCGTGAAACTATTTACAAAGTTTGGCATAGGAGAAACATTCTTGAATACTCTTGTATAGATTGCGTAAGTTATAAATTATAATACATTATGAATACTTAACGTTGTCTGCACAGTTCTTTGCTTGTTATGTCTCAATATTAATATTTTTTATTGTAATTTGTGACAGGTTTTACAAGATAAAATTGGTACTACGATAATTCTGGCAACAATATATCACAGTGTGGCAAGAAGACTTGGAATACGCTGCGATATAATATTCCATAAACCTAATATGGACTATTTGTTATGCTGGAGAGCGAAATAGTATAAGTATAGTTTTAATGCAAGTCTAAATTTTCATTCTTATCATATTTATATACAGGGTGAGGCAAAAGTATGGAAACCCCCGAATAAGTTTTGAGGAAGGCATTTTACGAAAAAATGTTAAATACAAAAGTTTTAGGAAATTTCTCTGGCTTTTCAATGGTGACCTTGGATTTGACCTTGACCGTGACCTTGAAGGTCATTTGAAGGTCAGAGTAATTTTTTTAAATGGAAACCCCTATTTTTATTCCAAAATCTAATAGCTGGTGTCAAGAGCTTTTCAAAACACTATAATAAAGTTATTTTTCATTAAGTACTTTTCGAGTTATGAGGCTTGTAAATTACAGTATTTTGACATAAAATACAAAATATCTTGTAAAACATTCAATTTTTGGGAATCTTACCTTAATACTTTTATGCATAAAATAATGAGACGATTCAATTGGTATAAAGAAAACACATAAGTTGCTTTTCAA